AAAGAAAGAAAGAAAGAAAGAAAGAAAGAAGGAAGGAAGGAAGGAAAGAAAGAAAGGGAAAGAAAGAAGGAAAGAAAGAAAGAAAGAAAGAAAGAAAGAAAGAAGAAAGAAAGAGAGAGAGAGAAAGAAAGAAAGAAGGAAAGGAAGGAAGGAAGGAAGGGAAAGAAAGAAAGGAGGGCGGGAAGAAGGAAGGAAGGAGAGAGAAAGAAAGAAAGAAGGGAGGGAGGGAAGAAGGCAGGAAGGAAGGAGACAAAGAGAAAAAGAAAGAGAGAGAGAGAAAGAAGGGAGGGAGGGAGGAAGGAAGGAAATGTAAAGGTCTTTTGGGTCTTCCGTATGATAAGGTGTGTTGGGAGAGCTGCCCTTCCTCACCCAGAGCCCTCCACTGCAGCCCCATCTACTTCCTCCTCCTTGGGGAACCAGGAGCAAAGCCACCTCATTACTGAGACCCCTCAAAGGCCACTGCATCAGCTCAGCTCACAGGCCCTAGCTTGTCTCTCTCATCACACTCCTCCCCTGTACCAGGCCCACCCAGAGGTACCTACATCCCTCCACAGCTGGGCAGTGTCAGGGGATGACTTCCTGACCTTCCCCATCACACACCCAGGATCCTGGTCCACTCCCTGGGAAGTCAGCCTGCAGCCTAGCCCGTGACCCTCTATCTGACCAGTGACATCAGTTTGGTTTCCCGCTTGCCCATGGCTCATCTGTCTCTCCCTTTGAAAGCCAGTCCTGAACAGGAGGCAAGAGCTAGGAAGAGCCTGGCTGAGAAGTCAGCTCACCTGGGTTCGTAGCCTGGCTGGGCCACTTACCCCAGCTCTGTGATTTTCAGGTATCTTAACCTCTTTGAACTCATTTCTTCATCTGTGAAATGAGGACAAGGATAGCCCTTACGTCTCAGGTGCATGTGCATGAGAAAGGACACCTGACCGCTTAGCACAGGCTCCGGCACTTAGCCGGTGTTGGCTGAAGGCCAGCCTTCACCAGTGGGAGTGAGGTCAAGTACCAGCTCTGTCAGCTAGAAACTGTGTGACCTCTCAAAACCTCGGTTTCCTTATTTGTCCCTGTGTATAACAGTGCCTCATGGGCTTGTTGGGATGACTCGGCGTGACAATACCTAACAGACAGCAGGAGTACAAGTGTTCAGCCTCCCCCATAGACGGGGGCTGAGTTTCCTGTGTTGTGTATCCCTCATAGCAACAGGTTTCAGAGTATGATCCCGGGACCCCAGGGGTCCCTGAGACCCTTCCATGGGTGCTGAGGTCAAAACCATTTTCATAATGCTGTCAAGCCATTATTTGACTCTTTTGCTCATTTCCCACAAGTATAGTGTGTTCCAGAGGCCCAGGATGGGGGGTATCGCAACAGTATGCAGAAGCTCATAGGAGAATCCAGCTGTCTCCTGGTAAGCCAGGCATGAATCGGCCTTTAAAAAATGCAAAGCACATGGTGGCTCACACTGGTTATCCCAGCACTTTGGGAGGCCAAGGAGAGAGGATTGCTTGAGCCCAGGGGTTTGAGCCCAGCCTGGGCAGCATAGTGAAACCTCTTTTGTACAAAAAAAAACTTTTCAAGTTGGCCAGGTGCAGTGGCACACAGCTGTGGTCCCAGCTTCTCAGGGGCTGAGGTGGGAGGATCACTTGAGCCCAGGAGGTTGAGGCCACAGTGAGCTATGATTGTGCCACCGCACTCTAGCCTGGGCAACAGAGCAAGACCCTGTCTCAAACAATACTAACAATAAGCAAAGCAAAATCACCCTTCTCACCCAGCGATTTTGTTTTAGAAAATACTATTTTTCACAAAAATGCTATTTATATTAACGTGATGAATTTATTGCTGTGGAAGTGAATTAATAAGTATTTTTAATGTTCTCAGTTATAATTTATACTATGATAAAGATCAAAAGATATAACTCTTCTAAACAAAAGTCCCTTGGGATCCTGAATAATTCTAAGAATGTAAAGGAATCCCGAGACCCACAAGTTTGAGAAGACTGCCCTACACAACGAGGACTGTGAGGGCTTGCCATAAACCTGTTCAAAGAAGCTGACCCCAGCCTCGCTCCAGCCACATAGTGAGCTCAGCGGAGAGCTGGCGCCATGTCATTGAGTGTTTTGGATCTCCCAGAGACCCTGTGCTGTGCCAGGCATGCCGCAGTAGGACCTACACCCAAACTTTCTGAATTCCAAAGAATTCACCCAGAAGCCCCAGGCCCGGTGCGCAAGTAAACCACACATTTGCCACTTGATGGGCACCAGCTCTGGTAGATGCTGCCTGACAACCCGTGTCCCCCTCTCTCTGGCAGAACTCACCCCTTCTGGGACCAACCACTTCCCCATTCTCGGTCCCTGTAGTTTCAGAAGGCCCCAGAGGCAGTCGCGTGACCCAGATCCGGATAGAGTGATTGGTTTTGAGGTAATCACACGAGCAGCAGGATCCAGATCAGAGCCAATGTGTGCGTGTCCCAGTTTCTTGCTGAGAACATTGGGAGAAAAGAGCCCTCTTCTCCTGGGGCTACCGAGCTGGTGGGACGGAAGCCCAGAGCATCTGGGGGCACTGCCACTCGGAGAGAGCTTACCTGAGAGTCAAGCCAACTCAGAACTGAGTGATGGAGACCAATTCCTGATTCTACCGTTTAAGCCCTTAAATCCAGCTCTGCCTGGACTTCTCAGCCACTTGGGCCAATACACTTCTTTCTTATACAAGTTTGAGTTGAGTTTCTCTTCCAGCTAAAAGAGTCCGAATGAATAAACACATGAAACCAGAACCACAGTGCAGATAGTGGGGAAGCCGCTGGGAGGATTTGAGCTGTCCACCAGAGGCATCGCTGAAGCCCACCTGGTTATCAGAAGAGGCCCCTTTTTGCTCACCAGAGACATGGCAGACCCCTGTTCAAACAACACAGATAGATAACAGCACAGATTTTTCTTTAACTTTATCATTTATAAAGCCATACAATGCATCGCAAAAAAACAAAGCAGCTGTACAGGAGTGGGGGCGCGTCAGTGTACAATACATTCATGTCCAGGACAAGGAGCATACACCAGGATTTATACACGGTGGTGGCGGCTATAGGCAC